AGTCTTTGAGCCATCAGCAGTTTCCACCTACACAAATTTTGGGGCTTGTGGTGCTATCTTGTTTCCCAGGTTTGTTACAGGTGTCCATAAGTTTTTGGTTTTGCTATCCCAGTTGCTCTTTGTTTTGTTTGTTTTGCTTTGTCTTTAATGAGGGAATTCGGGGAGATTAAAAAAAAATACCACTGCCATCTTCCCAGAATTCTTTTCTCTCAATTCTTTACACAATGCCAACCAGTGAAATCAGACAATGGGCAAACCACCATCCATGATCTTTTCTAAAAGTAGAAGATTCTGAGATGTAATAGTTATTGATCTAAAACTCATTCTGGTTTCACTTAGGATGGCAGTGTGCCCAGCTAAGAAGCACTTCCCAGCCTCCCTTGCAGCTAGGAATGACCATGTAATCCAGTTCTGACCAATGAGATACAAGCATGAGATAGCAGTGGGGCTTTGGAGAAAGCTCACCAAAAGTCAGGTCAACTCAACTGGCCAACCAACCCCTTTTGCCCTTTTCCTTCTTTTCACCTGTCAAAAGCTGAGCTGAGCTGCTAAGAGCTGAGCTGCCAAGCATCTGTGTAAAGTAGTAAAAATGAAACTAATGGTCAGTGATTGAATCATTTACTGGGACAGTATAAGCAAGAGATGAAACAGGAGAAAGTGCTGGCTTATGTTCCATTTTTCTCCCTGGCACAGTGCCAGGCAAGAGTCTGATGGATTAGTACAGATAATCAGGATTGTCTCACTGCTTAAGGATCCCCAAACAAAAGGCTCCTGCCTTTTTGCATACCGGGAGGCAGGGAGAAGGGAGCAGAGAAGGGCTGAGAGTGGAAAAGTACTACACACTTCGAGTGGAGGAAACATTTCAAGGCCACACACTCGCCCCCTTCCCTCCCCCCACCACCTCACAGCGGGTAAGTTGGTCTCTACAGAGGCACCTAAGAGAGGCCATGGCTAGGTCCCCCTTCCCCCCATAAAAGCCTGGGCTAAGGCTGGGTTGATGGTAGGATGAGGCCAGAGCCCTCGACTGCAGATCCCCTCAGAGCATGCAGTGCACAGGCTCTGTACCTTCCCATGAAGCTGTGGGTAAAGCTTTGAATTAATAATTGCCTATGGCTGGGTCTGATATATGACACATAGGTTTTAGGCTTAGAGCTGGACTCCTCACTTCTTCCACTTTGCTGGAAAAGGAAGCAGGCGTATTGGGATCAGATGATGACAAATTCATGCTAAGCCTGCTGAACAAAAGAAAGAAGATAGAAGGCAGAGTCCCTGATGGCCTCATGGAGCAGCCATGTTAACCTGAGACTATCTCCAAACTTCTGTTTACATGAGAAAAATAAAACTGCTAATTTGTTTAAGTCAGTGTTTTTCTGGGTTCTTTTACAGCTGAATGCAGTTCTTAAGGGCTACATGGGGGTCCCAAGGGCAGTGGCTTCCTAAAGGGTGATGCTGGGTGGTTCAAGAAGTTTTCACTGGCACTTGGGAGGTGAGAAAGAATAAACAATGTAGTCAGTTTTTCATAAAGGAAATTTATTCAAGTTTTTAGTACTGAGATTATGCCCTTCCAGGTCCTTTGATATTATAATGTCCTCTCTTTCATGAGATGATGGTGCTAATTTATGATGCTGATTATGTCTAAAATCCTTATTTAAAAATTAAATTCTGACCACTGTATAATGAAATCTAAAAACATATTTCTGGAAAAATGTATTTAAGTCATATCATACTTAAAAATACTTAGTAGTAACTAATTTGCCCGTCAAAATTGGATATTAATATGTGCCTGGAAAAAAACTCACTGTTTTTCTTTATTTGAACACTTACCATACTTCTGTGACCAGATGTGTGGGTCTTCTGCATTAAACAATTTTGATATTAACTGCCTGGAGTTAATGCAGCCCTAAAGTTAAGGGTCTCAATGCTAATTGCAAGCAGTGGGTCCCCAGGTTACTCACTGTCGTGGCAGTCTGAGGGCAGATTGGAGAAGAATTTCCAGACACAGAGCATTTCAGAAGAGACTGAGTTTATTAAGAACAAACAGCAGAGATGATGTGGGCACTGAAAGCACAGAGGGCCAACCTCCCGAGACCAGACACTGTTAGAACACCAGGCTGGCTCAAGGGAGAGCCAACGCTTTTTGTGGGTTAGTAGCCAATTTTTATAGCCTCAAGACAAAGAAAATTCCTGCTGGAAGGTTGGCATTAGGTGATTGGTTAGGGTGCTATAGAGTGAGTACTAGGCTGGGCATTTTTGCATAATATGGAGCTTCCCAGGTGGCACAATGGTAAAGAATCCACTTGCGAACGCAGGAGACACTGAGACTCAGGTTTGATCCCTGGGTCGGGAAGATTCCCTAGAGCGGGAAATGGCAACCCACTCCAGTATTCTTGCCTGGAAAATTCCAAGGACAGAGAAGGCTGGTGGGCTACAGTCCATGGGGTTGCAGAGTTGGACATGACAGAGTGACTATGCACACACATTAGGTCAGGAAACTTGCTGGTGATGATCAGGGGACTTTTGGCAACAGTTATGAAGGCGCTCAGTCAATTTCAGAGGTGACCTTGGTTCTGGGCTCCCCTTCTCAGTCCTTGATGCAAGGCCTTTCACCTGTGGCCTTGGGATAGGCCTCTACAACCATGATTTCTGCCTGACTCAGCTTACAAATTGGAGGTTCCCACGATCCCCTCCTCGCGTTTGATAATTTGCTCACAGAACCCAGGGAAACAGTTAACTTACTATTGTTGGCTAATTACAAAGGACATTTTAAAGGATGCAAATGAATAGCCAGATAAAGAGACACATAGGGTGAGGTCTAGAAGGGTCCCAGGTGCAGGAGATTGTGTCCACCTGGATTTGGGGACATACCACCCTCACAGCACATGGATGTATTCACCAAACCAGAAACTCTCCACACTCAGTTCTTTAGGTATTTTCATGGAGGCTTCATCACGTAGACATGATTGATTAGTAACTCTGTTTCTTGTCCCTCTCCTCGCTATGGAGAATGGGGGTTAGGGATGAAAGCTCCAGGCTTCTGATTATGGCTTGCTTTCTCATGACCAGCCCCATCCAGGGGCCCCCAAGTCCCCTAATTAGAACCAAAAATGCTCTATTACCCAGGAAATTCCAAGAGATTTAGGAGTTCTGTCAGATACTTCTATAGCTCAAGAAACAAGGGTCTCAGGGGCTCTGTGTCAGGAACTGGTGCCAAAGACCAAACATCAGGACAGAAGATTCTCCTAGCACCCCTATTCACAAGGACTTTAGGGGCCTTTGTTAGGAACTGGGACAGAAACTGACATATATAATATATATATAAATATTATTTTATAATATGCTTCTGGTCTTCAATAAGAGAAAAATCCTGTCACTTTTGGTAAGAGAGAGGAAGGAGAGATGACAGATGGCTTGCACAGGGGAATTCACAGGATCCACATGTGTAAGAAGCACTGCCTTGGGCAGCAGAAGTTAAGTATTCAAGAAAGAGTGAGCTAGGGCACCAGTTCAGAGGGTGACTGGAGCGTATGAAGGCCAAGTTCTTTGAAGAGTACTTGAAGACAAAAGAAATATTTAGCTGGAGAAAACCCAGGGGGCACAGAACAGCAGGTTTCAAACATCTGAAGTTATCAAAGGGAAAGAAGCTTAGACTTGATTTGAGAGCCCAGGGTTAGCGCTCGGACCAACCAGTGGAAACCGAAGAGGCCCTTCTCACAGCATGGGCAGTTCAGGAGGAATAGCTGCCTCGGTGAGGCTGAGGCTGGTGACCCCTGAGCAGGACCCACTGGACTATCAGATCCACAGGATCAGGGACCTGGTCTGTTTTGTTCATTGCCCCAGTACCTAGAAAGGTGATCAGCACACAGTAGGTGCATAATATATGTATATTTATTGAATAAGGTAACGGGGATGACATTCAGCATTTGATAGGAGGTTTGCCAAGGTGACCTTAATCAGCTAAATGGTAGCCTGAATTTATGCACAGCTTCCTTTATCTCTGTGCTGGTGTTTAGTTGCTATGTCCAACTCTTAGCTACTCCATGGACTGCAGCACGTCAGGCTTCTCTGTCCTTCACGATCTCCCAGAGTGTGCCCAAACTCAAGCCCATTGAGTCAGTGATGCCATCCAACAATCCTCATCCTCTGTCACCCCCTTTTCCTACTGCCTTCAGTCTTTCCCAGCATCAGGGTCTTTTCCAGTGAGTTGGCTCTTCACATCAGGTGGCCAAAGTATAGGAGCCTCAGCTTCAGTATCCATCCTTCCAATGAATATTCAGGATTGATTTCCTTTAGGATTGACTGGTTTGATCTCCTTGCAATCCAAGGAGATTACCTGCATTATCAGCCTTTTAACTCCAAATGTGTCTTTGCAGCTGTCTCAAAGACACATGACACAATACACAAATACACAGGGAACTCTGGTGCTAAAGAGGACGACAGAAACAGAGGGCAATCAGCAATCCTGACCTGGCAGAAACTCAGGTGTGGATGGTATGCATTTTAAACACAAAGTATAAAAATGTGTCTTTGAGGTGTCACTGGTTTCTCCCTTTCATGAACTCTAGCCAGGAAGTAATGCCACCTGGAAGATTTTCCAAAATGTGTATGTCAAAATAGGTAATAGGCAAAATGTTCTTTCTTTTTTAATATTTATTTACTTGGCTGCACCAAGTCTCAGTTGCAGCACATGAGATCTTCATTTGCAGCATGCACACCCTTAGTTGAGGCAGGTGGGATCTAGTTCCTTGACCAGATATCAAACCTGGGCCCCCTGCACCGACAGCACAGAATCCTAGCCACTGGACCACTAGGAAAGTCCTGGTAAGCATGTTCTTTAAACGCACTGTTCAATACTTAGAGGAGGAAAAATTCTGATGTTCATTCTAACCCCAACACCCCAAAAGTTAGCACATGAAATCAAGACTCCCAGCAGCCCGTCGAAGGCTGACAGTAATACATCAAAGAAGAACTTGAGGTCAAAGTCATGAAGTACAGACACAGAAATTATTATTATTTGCATTTTGTATTTATTTTGCAACCATTAGATTCAGTTGCCCACAGTCAGGTCACCAAAGACAAATTTTCAGGCTCACTATGAATCCAAAGCAAAGTTCACACTGTTTGGCCACTTGAGGATGGCAAGGGGAGCAGAGGCTCACCTGGGTAATCTGTACACAACCCAGAGACAAGCACCCCAGTTAGGATGGAACCATCTCAGGGATTAAGGGCGTACCTAATGCGAAGCACACCACATGACTGTGTGAGGAAATGCCAGGCACCAAAGTAGCTCCCATCCCCTTGTGTTTCTCCCCAATCAGCGCACAGTCACAATGACCACCGACAGCATAACGAAGAGCTGAACGACACGGGTCTCCACTCAACCACATTTAACTCTTGATTGTTAAATAGGTGATGATGAGGCTTCAGTGTGGCACCACCCACATGCTAGGTGTTGGGGCCATTCCATCCGTCTTCCTGATGGCTTTGCTTGTTCTGATTTCCTACAGCGGATGCCATGTCCAAAAGAGCCACACTCCAAAACCCATCGAAGAGAACTGAAGAGCAAAAAGAGTCATTCTCAAGACAAAGATTCCCCCACACAGGAAGGATTCAGAGAGATAACTTCAACACCAAAGCAGTCTGCAGCCACCAGCTCACCAAACCTAGAGCTTTGAGTCCTGATTTACAGGTTACGGGGAAGACTTACTGCTAGATCGGGGATGACATTTTAAAGTTTTTCTCCATTTCTACTTGAGCTTAGCCTCTGGTATTGCCACGCAGACTAAGTCAAGTAGAACCAAGAAAGTTTTTCTCCATTTCTTTGGAAACCCAGTGACTTCCTCTGACACAGATCCCAAAGCTACCTTCACCCAATCTCCTCAAACTCTTCTTTGTGACTGCTCTGTTTGGTGCTAGAGGAGAAAAGATAAAAGAAAATATGGAAGGGACTTTCCTGGTGGTCCAGTGGTTAAGACTCCATGCTTCCACTATAGGGCGCACAAGTTTGATCCCTGGTCATGGAACTAAGGCCCCACATGCTGCACACACAGTCAAAAAGAAAATAAAAAGAAATATGGAGGGATAGAAAAAGATTCAGGAGCTGCGAGATGACTGTGTTTATGTAAACACAAGCTGGAATCAAGATTGCTGGGAGAAATATCAATAACCTCAGATATGCAGATGATACCATCCTTATGGCAGAAAGTGAAGAAGAACTAAAGAGCCTCTTGATGAAAGTGAAAGAGGAGTGAAAAGGTTGGCTTAAAACTCAACAATTAGAAAACTAAGATCATGGCATCCAGTCCCTTCACTTTATGGCAAATAGATGGGGAAACAATGGAAATAGTGACGGACTTTATTTTCTTGGGCTCCAAAATCACTGCAGATGGTGACTGCAGCCATGAAATTAAAAGACGCTTGCTCCTTGGAAGAAAAGCTATGACCAACCTAGACAGCATATTAAAAAGCAGAGACATTACTTTTCCAACAAAGGTCCATCTAGTCAAAGCTATGGTTTTTCCAGTAATCATGTACAGATGTGAAAGCTGGACAGTAAAAAAGGTTGAGAGCCAAAGAATTGATGCCTTCAAACTGTGGTGCTGGAGAAGATTCTTGCAAGTCCCTTGGATAGCAAGGAGATCAAACCAGTCAATCCTAAAGGAAATCAACCCTGAATATTCATTGGAAAGACTGATGCTGAAGCTGAAGCTTCGATACTTTGGCCACCTGATGTGAAGAGCTGATTCATTTGAAAAGACCCTGATGCTGGCAAAAATGGAAGGCAGGGTGAGAAGGAGTCAACAGAGAACGAGATGGTTGGATGGCATCACCAACTCAATGGACATGAGTTTGAGCAAGCTCCAGGAGATAGTGAAGGACAAGGAAGCCTGGTGTGCTGCAGTCCATGTTGTCGCAAAGAGTCAGACACGACTAAGGTATACAGGGGCAATGGCAGGATATGAGGCAGGATAAGTAGATTAGGGATAGATTGTGGCAATACAGGGAGTTTGGGTTTTCTTCTTTAGATTACAGGAGACCAAAAAAAAATTAGTTTTTAAGTAGAAGAGTGATGCAGTCAAAGGCTTAGTCTGATTTATAAATTTTAAAGACCCTCATAGCTACATAACACACACTGGTGGCTCAGCAGGTAAAGAATCTGCCTGCAATGCAGGAGACCTGGGTTCAATCCCCAGGTCGGGAAGATCCCTTGGAGAAGGGAATGGCAACCCACTCCAGTATTCTTACCTGGAGAATTCAATGGCTAAAGTCCATGGGATCACAAAGTGTTGGACATGACTGAGCTACATATAGGATAAATCAGAAGGAGGAAAAGAAATGAGACAGAGAAACCCATCAAGCTATTACCGTAGTCTAGGTGTGAGATGATCAGGTCCTTAACGCTGGATACAGTACTAATAGAGCCAATTTGAGAAATATTTCCAAGGTAGCATAGACAAGTCCTGCTGACAGGTAAGATGTGGACGATAAGAGGAAGGAATCTACATTGATGCTGAGGTTTCCAGCTTGAGTGGCTAGGTAGATTTCTTTTTTTTTCAGCCATGCTTTGTGGCTTACGGAATCTTAGTTCCTCAACTAGGGATTGAACCTGGGCCCTCAGCAGTGAAAGTGCAGAGTCCTAACTCCTGGACCACCAGGAAATTCCTCCATAGATTTCTTAGTTTATCCAACAAATACTGATGGAGGACTCATGTGCCAGGCACTGGATACAATGATAATAAGGCAAACATGATTCTAACTCTGAAGAAACTTACAGTCCAGCAGGGGAAACTATGGGATAAGCAAATATATAAAACAATTTATGCAAGGTACAATGAAAAGAGAAGTCACTCAGTAGTGTCTGACTCTTTGCGACGCTATGGACTGTAGCCTACTAGGCTCCTCTGTCCATGGGATTTTCCAGGCAAGAATACTGGAGTGGGTTGCCATTTTCTTCTCCAGGGGATCTTCTGACCCAGGGATCGAACCCAGGTCTCCCGCATTGCAGGCAGACGCTTTACTGTCTGAGCTACCAGGGAAGACAGGTACAATGAAACAGCATGATAAAGCATCAAACCTAGTCTGGAGTCAGGAGTGGATGGTAGTGCCATTCACTAAGACAGGAAAATATAAGAAGATCTAGTTGTTGGGCAGATGAGTTTAATTTTGGACATGATGAATCTGTGGCATCTGTTGGTACACTTGGTTGAGGATTTGCAAGAAATGGGAACTTGGAAAGAGAGGTAGAGATATGGTCAAACCCAGGAAAGATGAATGTGGCAGAGGGGGCTTCCTAATGCATGGCCTTCCTCCTAAGAGAATGAGCCGGCCTCCCTGAGGACCTCATCAGGGGAAATGTCACAATCAGGGTCAGCATTTAAACATACAACAAGGGTGATGCTGAGGCAGGGGAGATCTGCCTAAATCTACCTGCTCTAGAAAAGAGAAAAGTCACCAACCAAATAGCTGTGAAAAGTACTTAGAGAAGGGAGGATGGTACGATGTGATGGAAGGACAGAACCTAAAGTCCTGATTGGCCTTCTGGTAAACATCGGCATTGGGTTCTGAAATGCCAAGTAAAGGTAAGGACAAGCCAGCCCACAGGGAAGTCATGAAAAATTCTGTTTTTCTTATCTTTCTAGCTGTCTGTTCCAAACTAATGTCAAGACTGGAAAACGACATGAAGACAGAAAATTCCCTCCTCCCATTGCTAATGGTTACTAGGTGGCCTGTGGGGCAGAGGCTGGAATTCCTGGCACTTAGGCTGAGGATAGCAAGTAGGATACCTTTTGGGCCAGATGTGGTCCATCATGTCACCATCAGCCAGGGCTCCTTTGCCACTTTCAGGCCTAAGACTTCACTCCTGGTCATTTCTGGCTCCCCACTGTGGTAGGCCCTCTGTGGCATGCCCTGCTCCCCTCCTGGCCCCATCCTTGCATTCAAGCTGGACAATGTCAGACAATTGCCTCATCTGAGGTATTCCAATCAGAAGTTCCCCAAATCATGATTCTCTCTTTAACTTAGCAAGGCCTGCTAGTCTGTGTGATGCAGGCGATATAAAGTTGGACTGTGGTGGACTTTCCTGGTGGTCCAGTGGCTAAGACTCCCTGCTCTCAATGCAGAGGGTGGGCCTGGGGATTCAATCCCTGGTCGGGGAACTAGATCCTACATGCCACAACAAAGATCAAAGAGCCTATGTGCTGCAACTAAGACTCGGAGCAGCCAAATAAATTTTTTTAAAAAGAAGAAGTTGGGCTGTAAAATCTGGGAAGGTAAGGACCTATCTCCATTATTCACTAGGGGCCCAGTACTCAATGAAGAACAAGAGTTTCCAAGAAACTTGGCAAATGATCCAAGTTTTGAATGCCATGTTCAGTTCAGTTCAGTTCAGTTCAGTCACTCAGTCGTGTCTGACTCTTTGGGACCCCATGAATCGCAGCATGCCAGGCCTCCCTGTCCATCACCAACTCCCAGACTTTATTCAAACTCATGCCCATCGAGTCGGTGATGCCATCCAGCCATCTCATCCTCTGTTGTCCCCTTCTCCTCCTGCCCCCAATCCCTCCCAGCATCAGGGTCTTTTCCAATGAGTCAACTCTTCACATGAGGTGGCCAAAGTATTGGAGTTTCAGCTTCAGCATCAGTCCTTCCAATGAACACCCAGGACTGATCTCCCCTACGTATATAATCCTCCCTTGTTCAAAATCAAGCTTTCCCCAAATATCTGCTGAGTGCTGGGGCTATAATGGTAAATAAATCTCTGACCTCAAGGAACTCTCAGTCTATGAAATCACAGGTAATAAGAAAATGGCCATAAAAGAAAAACATACCAAGAGCTCTACCACAGCCCAGAGAAATAAGTAAGTAATATTATCTGGAGAAGTAAAGCAAAACTTCATCAAGGATAGAATATCTGAAGTAGGTCCTAAAGAATAAATAGGAAGTTTCCAAGCAGACAAGGGAGAAAAAAGCATACTCTAGAACTTAAAAAAAAAAATTCAAAGATTTTATTTTAATTGTTTAATCTTTTTTGTGCCATGCTACACAGTTTGTGGGATCCTAGTTCCCCAACCAGGGATTGAACCTGGGCCCCAACAGTGAAAACACTGAGTCCTAACCACTGGACTGCCAGGGAATTCCCTTCAAAGAGTTTAAAGTAACATTTCCAGTAATTAAAGGTAGTTTGGAACTTTTATTGCTAGATTATTATAAGTGCACAGTGGATAAAACAGGTAAGTACTTATGTGGTAGGTTCCCCAAGTGGTGCAATGGTGAAGAATCCACCTGCTAATGCAGGAGATGCAGGAGACTTGGGTTCATTTCCTGGGTCAGGAGATTCCCTGGAGGAAGAACTGGCAACCTACTCTAGTATTCTTGCCTGGAGAATCCCATAGACAGAAGAGCCTGGTGTGTCCACAGGGCCCCAAAGAGTTGGACACTACTGAGCATCTGAGCATGCACTTATGTGGCAGTCCAATTCTATCACCAATGGTATCAGTGAGAAGTGAAATCCTCAATACAGGAGAAAGGAGATATGAATATATGATGAAAGCAATTT